TTAACCACTGGATCACCAGGCAAAGTTGGAACACGGACATCTATGGGAGGTTATTATTCAGACTCTCACAATTTCTACTTAAAATCCATCTTGTTTCTCATTCTCCATCCCACTGTCATCCTTGGCCTCGCCCTAGTCAGTCTGCATTTGTTGCCTCAGAGAAGAACAGCAGGACAATAGAGAAAATAGTCATTTCTTGCTTTTTTTTGGTATTTAAAAGAAACTTTTTATTTTATATTGGAGTATAGCCAATTAATGGGCTTCCCTGATGGCTCAGATGATAAAGAATCTGCCTGCAATGCCGGAGACCTGGGTTTGATCCCTGGGTCAGGAAGATCTCCTGGAGAAGGGAATGGCAACCCACTCCAGTATTCTTGCCTGGAGAATCCCATGGACAGAGGAGCCTGGCAGGCTACAGTCCATGGGGTCGCAGAGTTGGATACGACTGAATGAATAACACACACACACACACATAGTCAATTAACAATGTTGTGAGTGTCAGGTGGACAGCAAAGGGACTCAGCCACACATATACATGTATCCGTTCTCCCCCAAATTCCGCTCCCATCCAGGCCATTTCTTGCCTTTTTAAGTTTCAAAGGTCCAGCTTTAAAGGGATGGATACCAGGCCAAGGAGGGAAAAATCAACAAGAAGCCAGGGGGCATCAAAGAAACGTCCCCCTGGATGAGAAGCTAGGGGTCCCTGAGCAGAGGGCCTCTGGGCTTGTTCTTGTTGACTAAGCAATGGTTCATGTTAGAACCTAGGTTATTTTTGAAGGTCAAGAGCAAAGGAAACCTGTGTCTGTAGCAGTCAGGATAGGTAGGGCTTCGCCTCAGTGGCAAACAACCCCAAGTCTCTGTGGCTTAACGAAGTGAGGTTGATGTCTCACTGTCACTCCACATCCATCACTGGTAGACTGGGTGCTCTCTTCTATCCCAGGATGCAGGCTGGGGGCCCTGCCCTCCTGTCCTCCATCCAGCAGGCTAATAGAGCAGCTACTGTCACACTAGTCTCTGTGGCAGAGGAAAAGAGACGTGTACCCAGTCTCGGGCTGGCTCTTCTCAAACTTCTGTTGGGTGGTACCACTTGTCACTTCTCAGTTTTCATTGGTTAAAGCAAGTCATAGTCCATCTCTAATTCAAGGAGACAGTAGTGCCTGAAAGGAGACCTGGGGATGCTTGGTGATCAGAGCTAATGATCACAGAGCTTCCCTTTCCAAGCAGAACTCTTAGGAGGAGGCCAGAGCCCAGGGAAGCGGCTACTTAAAAGGTCTGCGTGGGCAGATGGCCCTCAAAGGTTCCCTGAGCTCAGGCTCCAGGGAGCAGTGGCATTTTCTGGTGCTGGAAACGGGAGTTGAAGAAGTAGGCCAGTCTGGCAACCCAACAGTAGTCTGAATCAGGGTATCCCTCTGATGGCAGAGTGAGCTGGTGGTGACTTCAAGCCTCCAGGAAGAAAACATAAGGGATTCTGAATGGACTGAACCTAAGTTTAAACCAACAGTACAGTAGGGTCTCCAAACAGAAATTAAGTTTATATATAGGAAGGCAACATTCACACCACCATGAATAGAAACCAAAGGCTGATGTTACAGGACATGCAGGTAATGTGACTGATTCAAGGTCCGCATGCTATGGGACACATTGGTAACTCTTACAGAGAGCCTTCACTTAATCATTTCTTTTTGCCGTTTAGAAAAACTATCGCTGGTGACTAAAAGTTTTAGCAATGATGTAAATCATCTAAAATTCAAACACACAAGTTTGATGACATGCAAACATATCTTCATTGACTCACTACTGAAATTGATGGAAAGAGCTATTGCTCAGCCTCACTTCGACTGCTTTGTCTTCACCAGAGAAGGAAGTTAGAGCAGGTGGTAGAGAATGAGTTGTTGGATTTCCAGAATGTGCCAGAGACTGTGCTGGGTATCTTGAACCTCATCCACATGAGGCTTAAGATATGCAGGAACTTTCCCTGAGCTGCTTAGCACCTGGGCCAAAGCCCAGACTCTGCCGAGTTGGCCTGGCTCTTCCTCAGCTTTTACCCCGAATTGGTTCTGCCCATCCCTGCTTCCGGTTGCCACATGGACAAACTTGACAGGCCAAGGGTCCTCAGCCCCCAGGCTCCCTGGTGCCAGGAGTCAGAGCAAAGGCCCTCACAGAGCTGTTGGGGAGAGGACCACAGGAGGAGACCCAGGCTGTGCGTTTTGTCAGGAAGACCTCAGAAAGGATGTTGTGTTGTCCTCAGCACATCATATCAGGAGGAGCGTGATGTCGGCTTGTCCCACTGAGGGTGATGCTCATTCTGATAACTTGGTTAAGAAAGTATCCTCCAGATTGGTTCACAATAAAGTTGCTATTCTCCTCCTTTGAAATTAATAATTGGGCAGCTTTAAAAATACAGTACATATTTCTGTAAGCAATTCAAATAAGAAAGCAAAGTTACCTCCCTTAATCCTCAAAGGTAACTCTTACCAATTTGGCTAAGAGTTGTATCTCTTAAGAGTGCATTTGCATCTGTATTTCCCCCACAGTTTACCTACTTTGGGGGCTTCCCAGGTGGTGCTAGTGGTAAAGAACCCACCTGCCAATGCCTGAGACATAAGAAATGTAGGTTTCCTCCCTGGGTGGGGAAGCTTCCCCCGGAGGAGAGCACAGCAGCCAACTTCAGTACTCTTGCCCAGATAGCCCCAAGGACAGAGCAGCCTGGCGGCAGCAGTCCATAAAATCACACAGAGTCGGACGTCACCGAAGCAACTTAGCATGCATGCATCTCTATTTTGGGGCTTCCCAGCTGGCTCAAGAGTAAAGAATCTGCCCGACAATGCAGGAGGCACAGAAGACTTGGATTTGACCCCTCGGTCAGGAAGATCCCCTGGAGGAGGAAATGGCAAATTCCGTGGAAAATTCCATGGACAGAGGAGCCTGGAGAGCTACAGTCCATGGAGTTGCAAAGAGTCAGACAGGACTGAGTGACTAAGCGTGCACATACACACTCACACACGTGTATACCTATTCTTAAATAAATGAGAGTAGAATCATTGTATACAAATTGTTATTTCAACTTAGCTATTTCTCCTAACAAACAAACTCGCAGCATTATTTATTGCTCATCATTGTTTTAATTTGTTTCTTAATTATGACTAGTGAATTCACAATAGCCAAGATATGGAAGCAATCTAAATGTCCATTGACAGAGGAATGGATAAAGAAGATGTGGTACATACACACAGTGGAATCACTGCTCAGTAGTAACTGAGCTGTGGTAGAAGATGTGGTACATGTACACAAATGGAATGACTACTCAGGCTTTAAAAAGAATAAAATAAGGCCATTTGCAGCAACACGAATGCAACTAGAGATCATCACATGAAGTGAAATCAGACAAAGATAAATACCATATGATATCACTTACAGGTGGGATCTAAAACATGACATAAATGGACTTACCTACGGAACAGCAACAGAGTCTCAGACATAGAGAAGAGACTCGTGGTCGCCCAGGTTAGGGGGATGGACTGGGGTTTTGGGATTAGTAAAGGTAAGCTGTTATATAGCGAACAGATAAACAACAAGGTCCTGTGGTATAGCACAGGGAAATATATTCAATATTCTGTGATAAACCACAATGGAAAATAATATGAAAAAGAATGTATGTATATGTATAACTGAATCACTTTTCTGTAGAGCAGAAATTAACACAGCATTGTGAATCAACTGTACTTCAATAAAGAAAATAATTATGGCCAGTGAGAGTGAAATGATTGACTGTCAGTATTTCTGCTGGGAGGGTCTAGTCTGTTTCTTTTTTTTTTTTAATTTCATAAGTTAAACTTTATTATTAAGCAATTTGGCACAGGGAACCATATTCAAAATCCTGTAATAAATCATAATGGAAAAACATACAAAAAAGAATATGTATACATATATGAATACATATACACTTGTGTGTATGTGTGTCTATATATATGTACATACTGAATCACTACACTGTACACCAGACACTACTATAACGTTTTAAGTCAACTATAAAGTGAGAGTCGCTCAGTCGTGTCCAACTCATTGCAATCCCATGGACTACATAGTCCATGGAATTCTCCAGGCCACAATACTGCAGTGGGTAGCCGTTCCCTTCTCCAGGGGATCTTCCCAACCCAGGGACTGAACCCAGATCTCCCACATTGCAGGCAGATTCTTTTCTAGCTGAGCCACAAGGGAAGTAAACTATAATTCAACAAAATAAAGAGAGAGATTTGGAAGCAATTAAATCTGAGGCCCTGAGCAAGAAACAAATCTGTCAATAACCAAAATCCTGCCCCTGTGAGCCTAGAGTGTCCTTTTTCTCTTTAGAGTAGAAAGATGGACACAGAAAGTATTAAAAAACATACAATCTAATAAATGTACTGCAATTCTAGGAAACAAAAATAGAAGTAATAAATAGAAATCCATGTTATTAGCACTTCTGCAACCAGTTTGGCCCTAAATATAGCAGTTGGTTTTGGGTTTAAGGTTTGATGTCTACTTCTTAAGGCATTTAAAATGCTGAGAAGATGATAACAAGACTGTTAACTTTAATTAAATATTCAAGATAAATTTTGATTAAATAAGTTTGCAGTTAACAGTTAAATACTGAGGGGCATCTAATGTACTAAACTAGTATTTACTTTATTAGTTGTACAATGTAAATATTAAAGAGTGTTGGCTGATGGGAGGAGAATATCAATTGCCCAACAAACATAAAAGAGGAAGAACAGGACCTTAAACACTCACTTGTGGATACTCCTGTCCACACACAGCATGGGCAGAATTTGGACATCAAGGAGTTAATCTGCTGACTGGGAGGCAGGCTATACTTCCTGACCCCCTGGGCAGCCACCCTTAAAGGGTCAGCTTTCCACCACACCAGCCAAGACCCTGGGAACACGGTTCACACTGGCAGCTGGGAATACACCCTGGGCAGTAAAGCACGCGGACGCTGACGCAGCTGGGCCATCCTGGCCTTAGTCCCGCCAGCGGCGTCCACCCTGGGCGTTGCAGCACTTGCAGAAGGTGGTCATGGGCTCATCTGCAGAGCGGGTCTGAAGCTGCAGGAAATGGGCTCGAGGATGTTCACACTTGGGACACGGCTCTGCAGTAGAGTCAACATTCTCCCAGGCAGCCGCTCCCTCAAGCACATCATCCACTTCCTTCAGCTTTGGATACTTCCGATCTGTCACCTTGCGCGCGACCTTGCGCACGTAGGGGCGGGTGTTGCCGGCGAAGCGGCGGCAGCGCTGCCCCTCCTCGGCGATCAGCCCGTTCTGCAGCTCGAGCGGAAGAGCAGCGTGGCCACCACCGGCCCGGCGCTCCCGGCGGCGCCCGCGGCAGCCCAGCCTGTTTCACAGCTGGCTGATTTGCCTCCTTGCGGTGTTGAGGTGCTGTCTGCGTGGTGCCAATCCGAGTGGTGAAGGACCAACAAAAGAGAAAGAATGCTGGGGGCCTTCAAGGAGCTGAGCCGGTGCGCGCTCTGGGGCTGGGGGTAGGGATGGCGGCCGGAGCTGGGGCTGGGACAGGCGACAGGCCTGGTTTGCAGGCCAAGAGCCCGGACCTTGTTCCGCAGTCCACAGAGGGTTCTGTGAGTGGGACCTGCCCAGGTGGAAGTGATTTCTAGGAAGATCTGTGAGCGCTCTCCGGAGAAGGGTGAGGCTCAGAGGGGTCCCTGGCCAGCGTGGAGGTAGCTGCTTTAGGCAGCAAGCCAGGAGGCCAGGAGAGGCTTTGAAAGCCCCTTCCATTTGAGGAGAGTTCTGGAGAACTCCAGAAAACTGGCCTTTGGAGACGGGGCTGGACTCCTGCCTTCATGGGCAGCTCTCATTATCACTCTCCCCATTAGCGATTTATTGTGTTAGTTAGACCTAATTTACACGTTACTGAAGCATTGAAAACAGATTGCAGATGTTTGGAAACAGATGTTATCCTAATGTTAAGGCAAAACCATGAATATTTATGATGATTATTGCCCGGATCAAATTACCTCGCTTAAACAGCGAGGCGTGTTCTAGCAACTTTTGCTGGGAACCTGGAAAGGGAAGACAGAAAAGTATTGATGAACTTTTGGGCACACTTCAATTTTCCTTCACGTGGTCCATTTTTTTTCTGTGTTCCCATGGATCTGGAAACAGAGATTTGTTGTTAGGGAATCAACTGAGGGATTTTCCTGCTGCTCATATTAATTGGCCAAGTTAGGATTTTCCATCTGACTTTTTCCAGCCTCTTGGAAAAAGATCTGCCCAGCCGCCTTTCACCCAAGAGCCGTGGTCACTTCTCAGGTTGCAGCAGGGAGGCTGGGCTTCCTGGTCCTTCCACCCACCTGCCCGGGGTCCCAGAGCCACCAGGGGCCAGGCTGGGCCACAGCAGCCAGTGGGGTCTGCGAGGCTGGAGGCTGACTTCCTATCTAAGCAGGGCTTACTGTTCTCCTGTTTGCTGTCCTGGCAGAAACACCAGGTGGAGAACTGTCCCTCTGCAGTCTTCGAGAGTCTCCTTCTCAAGTTCAGCGCAATCATCCGGGAAAGTGTGAGGACTCTTTGAGAGGTGTGATGGATGGGAGGCACTCTCCAGCCCCCCTGGATCCTTCCACCATTCATGTGCCTGTCCCTGTCCCGCTTCCCACCTCATACTTTTGCACTGAAATGCAGCCCCTGCAGTTCTTCCTGGGGGGAGTGCCTGCCCTCAGCCCCCTGGGGTCCCTGGCCCCACCCAGCACAGAGAATCCAAAAACTTGGGAGCTGACGCCCTCCTTGGCCCTCTTACCCATAGCTGATAGCTATAATGAAAGCCCAGCTCTTTGGCCTCAGGTTGGGACATGTCTGAGGCCCAGCTTACCCTCCGGGGCCTTCCTCCAGGTCAAAGTGTAGCTCTACCCTGGCTGAACCCCCAGTCCTTTCTTTCTTCCTGTTCAGTTCCCGCACTGGTTTCTAATAGGGGCAGGTCCTCAATAAATCCCCCAGTCAGGGTCTCTTGTCCCAGGACGTGCTTTGGGGGACCCCCACCTAAAACCCCTGGGGTTCCTTCTGTGCTGGCCTCACACCCAGCAATGGGATGAAAATGATGGAAGGAAGGATCCTGTGTGTGAGGAGCCTAGGGGGCCGTGGAGACAGATGGGGAGTGGCGGATTCCAGTGGGTCAGGAGCAGGCACAGAGGGATCAGCACTTCTAGCCTGTGGTTGGGTATTGACTGAGCAGTGGTGGGAGTGTCAACTGCCAACTACACCTGCTGGGACTCTTGAGCACCCCCTGCAGGCCACGTATGGGGCCAGGGGCATTCCGTCTCATTTCAGGGTAGCCCTGCAAGGTAAATGTCACCAGTCCCATCTCCCTCCTAAAAACCCTGAACCTCCGAGATGTTCAGTGACTCACTCGGGGCATCTACCCACTTAACTAAGTTTTATCCAAGAGAGCCTCCTGGAGTTCAGGGGCCTGTGCTGGGTGAGCCAATGGGAAGAGAGCTGTTAATCTAGATGATTAATATGGAAATATAGAATAAACATGCCATTCCAAGCTGTGATGAATGGAAATTCATGAACGGAATCCCTGGAGGGGAAGCGCCTGGGGAGGTGACGTCAGGGGTGAGAGTGAAGGACGAGCCGGCATCTCCAGTGAAGAAAGGGGAACTGGAGCCCTGAGCAGAGGGGTAACAGGTGCAAAGGCCTTGGGAGCAGGGACTGGAGCGGGTGGTGGGTGGAGAGCTGGAGGAGCCAGCAGGGGCCGGATCATGCAGGCAGCGGCTTACCCTGATGCCAGGAGCTTGGCCTTGTCTGAGAACCTTGAGCCGCCTTCAGACGAAGTTCCTCACACTGGAAGAGGCAGGGTCTGGCTTGGCTTCCAGAGCCTGGACTTCCTTTATTATTTTGTGCCTCTAAGGACAAGGCTCTGCGCTGGTTCTTAGATAGGGAAGAGGGCCTGAGGTGCCTCTGGCCGTGTGGGCACCGGAATAAGAATCAGCAGATGGCGGGACACCCTGATGATGTAAGAACAGTAGTCTTCAAACTTGAGTTTCTGGGAATGGGTGGAGAATTTGCATCTAGTTCTTTCTCTTTTTTAAAAAATGTGTTTACGTATTTGTGCTTGGCTGTGCTGAGGCCTCGTTGCCACATGCACGCTTTCTCTAGCTGCAGCGAGCGGGGCTACTCTGGCTGCACGGTGCGGACTTCCCACTGGGGCGGCTTCTGCTGCGAAGCGTTGCCCTGAGTGTGAGGGCTTCAGCAGTCGTGGCTTGTGGGCTTGCTTAGCTGCTCTATGGCACGTGGAATCCTCCCGGGCCAAGGGTACAACCTGTGTCCCCTGCATTGGCAGGCAGATTCTTACTCACTGTACCACAAGGGAAGTCTGAACTTACATTTCTAAGACCCCAGAAGGTGGTCTGCGAGCTGTCGGTCTGGGAGCACATTGTCGGGGGCCTCCACAGAGCCATACAGTGGAGCGCCCCCAGGGAAGGCAGATTCTAGGCTGGAGTCAGGGTCAGTCTGGGCTCCATCCAGAAGCAGAACCATAGGAGATATATACATGTATATACATATATATATGTCTCATGGGATTTATTATAGGGAGTCAGCTTACTCCGTTGTGGGGTCTGGCTTCGCAGGTTGAAATCCAGATGATTCTGGCGGTCATGAGGGGCTGCAAAGAAGCAGGCGGGACCCCACTGACATCAGCAGAGGCTCGTGGTTCCAGGAAGCTGTCAGGAGGGAGGCGCGGGGAAAAGGAGAGCGAGCGCAGTCCCTGCTCTGGTTTGGACTCTCGGCCTCAGGGCCGCCTGAGTCGACCCAAAGGGCTTCTAAGTGGTTAAGTCAGGCCCACCCAGGAAATCCCTCCTTTGCTTATTTAAGGTCAGCTGATGATGGACTTCAGCCCCGTCCGTGGGATCCCCCACACGGCGCCTCACAGTGACGCTGGGCAGTTGGTGGGAGGTGTGTGCGCTATGGGTTTCGCAGGTGGAGCAATGATAACGAGTCCTCCCGCCAACGCAGGGGATGTGGGAGACTCGGGTTCCATCCCTGGGCTGGGAAGGGCCCCTGGGGGAGGAAATGGCAGCCCACTCCAGTAATCTTGTCTGGAGAATCCCGTGGACAGAGGAGACTGGTGGGCTACAGTCCATGGGTCAAAAAGAGCAGGACAAAGCTGAGTGAGCACATGCATACGCTACAGTCGCCAAGCCCCCTTCTGCACCCCAGGAGAACTGCTCTCAGAGCCCAGTGTGATGGAAGCATGCTAGAAAGGACACTCCGGGAACTGTGTCCCGCCTGGCGCATTGACCTGGCGCAGAGCCTGTGCGACACGGAGCGGGCTTCCCACCCTTTGGAGGCTCAAGTCAGGTCCTTTCTGATGCCCAGGTTCCGACGCCTGCACCCTCACCTGCTTCTTTGGTCTGTGCCTCCCTGGCCTACCTGCCTACCTGTACCACCCTGGCCTCATGGCTTGTAAAACAGCTGCCCAGGTGGCCAGACTCTGTCCCCAAGGGTGGAGCTCAGCCCACAAGACACTAACAGGGGAGACTGAGGCAGGGAGACACCCAGAACACGTGGTTGGAAAGAAATCTGCACCCATCCAAGCAGGACAGGGGATGGAGCGGATTCCTCTCTGGACCCAAATTTCCTGCCTGGATGACAAAGTGTGGGAATCCAGGATCCTGGCGGACAAGAGAGGAGATTCTTGGAGCAAACTGAAGACATCCGGCCAGATCCCCAGGAAGGGGAATAGACGCGGCGTGGAACCGTTCTGTGCAGCGCCTGGTGCTCAGGCCACTGGACCAGTGGCTCCCACGCACTGATGTCGTTTAGTCACCCAGTCGTGTCTGACTCTTTGCAGCCCCCGGACTGCAGCACGCCAGGCTCCCCTGTCCTTCACCGTCTCCCAGACTTTGCTCAGATTTATATCCATTGCGCCGGCGACACCATCCAACCATCTCATCTTCTGCCAACATGCTGAAGGATGTTTATTTTCAACCTAGAATATGCTGCCCCAGCAAATCATGATTTTAAAGTGAGGTTAGGGACTTCACAAGGTGGTCCAGTGGTTAAGACTCTGTACTTCGACTATAGTGGCCGTGGGTTCAGTCCCTGGTTGGGAAACTTAAGATCCCTCAGGCCGCTCGATGAAGCCAAAAAAAAAAAAAAAGAAATGTGAAGGTAGAATAGAATTATTGTCAGCCTTGAAAAACCTCAGAAAATTCAATTCCCAGACACCCTTTCCAAGGAAACTACCCAAGGATGGGCTTTAGCAAGAGGAGGGACTAGACTGGGAATGAAGAGGCCGTGGGGGTCTCAAA